GATAGGGCCTATTTGCAGGAAGTTAGGTCACTGGGGGTGTACCCGTGGAGGGGATTTGGGATTTTGGGCCCTTTCTCTTCCTCTCTGCTTCCTGTCATGATGTGAATGGGTAATCTCTACCATGTGGTCCTCTCATGTTCTGTTCCATCATAGGTCCAAAGCAACAGTGCAAAGCAACCATGGACTGAAACCTCTAAAACCTTGAGCCAAAATAAATCTTTCCTCCTTTTAATTTGATGATCCATCTTGAGTGTTTTGTCAGTGATGGAAGTGACTTAACACAATAGCACATTTACATTTGCTTCTGAAAGGCAATTTGGATAATAGTTTCCTCTCTCAGGATGAGTTATACCCCCTTTAGGGTCTCAACTGAATGGATGGGAGATTTACCAACGTGAATTCAGCCCTGGATGGGCCCCAATTCCAATGTCTCCTGAGCATTAGGTAACCTGTGAAATCTGCCACTTATCAGATCTTCTCTACCAAACCATACCTGAGCAGGTTAGGAATTGGTTATAGATCCATTGAGAAATTCTCAGGTTTTCTTTGTTGCAACTTACTTATTTCCAATGTTCTGCCCCTCCAAACCCTTGCCCAATCCCAGCCACCTCAGCAGACATGAACTCCAATCTGTTTCCTCCCGCAAGCCTGCCATACTCTGCTTAGGCTCCATTTTCCTGTGCTACACCTTGGAAGAGACTCCTTGGAAAGGACTCCTCTGTTTCTGTTCTCTAAAACTTTGTAACTTTGTTAGGTGCTTCCAAATACTCAGTTGTAGCTAGACCTGTCTTTCAAACTACCCTTTTTTAAAAAAAAAAAAAAAACTTCATCCTAGGACGAATTCTAGGATGGTTCCCAAGACTCCCACCCCTCATAGGAATGCCCTGTATAGGACTCTCCCCTTGGGTGTAGGTGGGACCTGTGACTATGATGGGTGTCCCTCCCACAACCAGGCTATGCTGCATGGCAAAGGTGAAGGGATTTTTCAGGTATAATTCAGGTCCCAAACCAAATTTTGAGTTAATAAAAAGGAAGATTATACTGGGTGGGTCTGACTTAAAGCCCTTAAAGAGAACTGGACCATTCGTGGAGATGTTCCTGCTGTCTTTGGAGAGGCACAGCCTCTGCCTATGAATAGGGGTGGCCTTGAGGTGCTGATGACCTCAGTCCTACAAGCCTAAGTAAATTAATTCTGCTTATTAACTTGTATGAGCTTGAAGAGGTCCTTCAAATTTCAGATGTTTCGGAAAGTGGTTCGCTTGGGGCATGCTTTTGGGTTTATATTTTATCCATAGTGAGTGGAGCTCTCTCTGCCTCCACTTCCTTGTGCCATGTCCCGAGCTGCTTTCCTGTAATGTCCTGCCTTACCTCAGTCAGGCCCAGGGCAGTGGGGTTGGCCATCTATGGACTGAGACCTCTGAAACTTTAAGTCCCCAAATAAACTTTTTCTCTTCTGATTGTTCTTGTCGGGTCTCACGGTCACAGCAGCTGAACAGCTGACTAAAACAAGGTCTCACTAAATTGCTTAAGGCCTCACTAAATTGCTGAGGCTGGCCTCGAACTTGAGTTCCTCCTGCCTCAGCCTCTTGAGTTGTGTGCATCACTATGCCCAGTGTTGTCACCTCTTTTAAAACAGATTTTTGCATGTACCTATATTAATGTCCCTTGAACTCTTTTTCAGATATTATATGATTCTTGTCTACTCAAGTTAACTTCTATTTTGTTAAGAAATCATCTGTTTCCTGAAAGTTTTCAATTTATTTTTTTTGTCACAGAATTTCGTGTAGTTTTCTCATATACTTTATTTTATCATTCCTGATTCTGGGATTATATCTTATTTCACCCAGTCTGAATATTACATGTTTTCACCTTTTTTTTTTTTTAAATCAGGTTTACAAAGTGTTTATTTCATTTGTCTTTTAGAAAGAACTGGAGCTTGGATTGATTTATCCTTTCTACTATTTCTGATTTCAGTTTTTATCATTTAAATATTTTTAACTTCCTCATTTATTTAGTTGGTTCCAATTTCTATCTTTTGATTACAAAAAATTCCCAACTAATTGTATCACTTGGCCAATCTCATTTCTTCCAGATGACCCACAAAATAATTTTGGTATATAATTTTGGCATATAATCTTGTCTATAAATATTTCACTATATATTTTTAAAAGGATTTAAAAATAACAAAATGCCCATATTGCACCTGGTATTATTTGTGAATATGTTTATATGATATTTCTTTAATATCATAAGTGTTCAGACAGTTCTCCTAGAGTTGACTAAGGGACAAACAAGAACAGAGAAGTTCAAGTTGCCATCCTCCCAGAACACCCCGGGATGTAAGGTAAAACTCACAGTAAAAATTGTACTCTCTATCACATCCCAGCATACCAATACCTACAATGTATAACTGAAAAAAATATCACATAAAACAATACCTTTATTTACCGTGTAGATCTCTCTTCCCCTCTCCCTTCATTCCTTCCTTTAACTGTTGGTTGCAATCGACGGCATTGATTTCACATTGTGTTGTATCTATATTATGTGCATTTTAAGATCAAGCCTATGTAGCAAACTTCTAAATATTAAATTAACCGAAAAGGCCCATGAAATGCATATCAGATAGTTTTTCTGAAAGGAGGAGCAGAGAAAAAGCATTTAGTCTGCCAAGTGCCTGGTTGTCCTGTGCCAAACCACATCCAGTTCCTTCACATCCCCTTCCACTTACGTATACTGTCTGTAATTCATACTTCACTAGAACAGGATATGTGAGATCCCACTGCCAGTTTCTTGTATTTGTTTTTCTGACAATTTCTGCCTGGAATTTTGACTTGTTTTGAACGACACAACAGTCAAGTATGTTTGTCTCCATATACTCTTACCAAAAATATGTACTATCACCCATCTTCCTGAATTACTAACGGTTGATAACAATGAAGTAGAAACTATTTTAAGGTTAAAACAGAAATAATTTATATCTTCCGGCTCAAATTTTACTGATAGCAGATGTTATGGTTTGAATACTGAATGTACTCCCCAAAGCTCACGTGTCAGGAAGTGCAACAGTGTTCACAGGTGAAATGAGCAGATCATGAGAGCTGTGATCCCAACAGTGGATCATCCATTGGAGGGTGAATAGTTTCAAATGAGTTAATGGGTAATAATGATAGGCAGGTAGGGCATGGCTGGAGGAAGTAGGTTAGTGGGGACATGACCTGGGGGACTCTCTCTCTCCTGGTCCTCCTCGTATCCTTTCTCTGTTTTCCAGCTGTCTTGAGCTGAACAACTTTTCTCTCCTGTGCCCACCTACCATGCCTCCCTTCAGGCCCTGAGCACTGGAGTCAGCCTACATGGACTGAGACCTTTAAAACTATGAGCCCTCAATAAACCTCTTCCTCCTCTAAGTGGTTCTTGGTCCCAGTGATGAGAAGCTCAGTAACACAGAAGCCTTCTCTTTAGCAATCTAAATGATTTGAATGAACAAATAAGCAGCTATCAAACTGAAATCCAAGTTAAAAAAAAAACAAACTCCTTCAACATTAACAATGATTAGTGATTTACTCTATTTAGCACACAGTTATTGCACTTTAAATAAATAGGTTCCTTGGATTTTGGCCTTCAAAGAAATGAAACACACTCATCTTGTGTAATCTAAAAGAGCTTTATTTAGTATATAATCTCCATACAATTCAGTACAACTTATATAAAAGCTCTTTGTAAGATTTTACCCATAGGATGTAAAAAACAGAAAATCAGTTGTCACAAGAGAGTAAGCCACTTTCTCACCTTAAAAAGACTCTTCTTCCATGAACAGACAAGCTTTCTCTTCTAGGTCAAAAGGTCGTCATATATGGAGCATTTGGGAGCATGTTAACCAAGATACATGATCTGAGCGCATTTTATTATCATCCTATTAACTCTAAGGATTGAATCAACATTTTAAAATTAAATATTTCTATGATAATTCTGTAGATTTGGGCCAACGATGAGCTAAATTTTTAACATCTTAGTCAAAGTTAATACGAATCAGAACAAACATTTTCTAGTTAATTGTGAAATAAAGATGCAGATCTGATGAAATATTTACACATGCCCTTGCCCTGGCAGCACCCACCCAACACCACACACACACACACACACACACACACACACACACACAAAACCAACTTATTAAGGTCAATTCACACAGGTCAGTCAGATCATCCTTAAGAGACAATGAGCAGCCTAGATAAACCTTTATTACATTCTTGGCCAACACATCTGAAATGAAGCCCTATCCTATAAATGCCTGTAATGAAAGTGTCCCCAGGGCCTTTCTACTGGAGTAGAATCTCTACGAGTCATTGTGATCTGTACTTATAGCTGGTCATTTAACAAAGTACCTAGGTTCAAGTAGGGAAGCATTACCTGCAACGTACAAATGTACTTTCATTCGCCCATCTTTTCTTTCTTTCTTTCCTCCCCGGTGCTGGGGAAGGAACCCCGGCCTTTGCACATGTGAGGCAAATGCTCCTATACTGAGCTGCACCCCCAGTCCTTCATCTGCTAATCTTTTGATGTGAGGCTAATAAGGACTTTCTTCTGCATGAGGGTTCAGTGACTGTCGTTCACTTCTTGTACAAATCATACCGATAACATGATTTGGGTACATCTGACCACCTTCCTATTGGTTCAGACTTTTAAAAGGCAGAATGAGTACATAGAAAAATCTGCGATGCAATCTAAGTTCAGAAATTTTCTTGATTTTTATGTTTCCCTCAGTATTTCATGATTTTGTTAACCACATTAAATTTAAAAGTGATTTTTATTAGCAGTTGAAGTGTTTCCACATCAAAACGGTCAACTTAATTTTTACAGAAATAACTCTTTCACATCCATGTTTCCTAGGCTTATACACAGCTGACTGAGTTGTGTACTTATAATCAGAGGAACTCACATGTCGAGGTCTGGTGTGGGAATGAAACAGAAGGCGGGAGGGAGCAGGAGTGTTGGGAGCACCAGGGAGTGGCACCTGGCTGTGCTGGGCTGGAGCAGGTAGCTGCAGAGGGATGGAGACTCCAGGGCTCTGTGGAGTGATAAGCTGAGTCAGTTAAGAGCACTTCTATTGTACTTAGAGTTTCTCTTTGGGAACTAAGAAGCAAAATCTGATGTTTGTCTATTCACAAAAACAGAGCCTTCGTTTGAGGTTATTACCACACATTAAACAGCTACAAGGCCTGTGTGACAGGGAGTTTAGGCCACAAGTCTCCTGCTCTGGCTTGCAGGGATGCTGAAAGCCAGAGCCAGAATCAGATGCTTTTTTTACTGTATGCTCCAATGAGAAGGTCATAAAAGAAAGAATTCTGACAAGTGCTAAAAAAATCTACCATGGTACTGTACATGGTCACAGTGTCTTGGAAAGAATGTATGCATGGATTCCGTCTTGCATGACTTTTTGGCACTTTATATTTTCACTGAAGACTGAACACTCAATGTGTTGGCAACAATGGCATTATGAAAAAAAATCACTACGCCATCACTGTGCGATGACAAGCATACAAATTTAAGTACATGATTCTTGTATACTGAGACTCTAAGTACTCAAATGCTTAGACTAATACAAATAGGAATATTTAAAATAGATTTAAATATACATGAAAAAGTAACAGAGATTTTTTTTTTTTTAAATGAAATCACGTAGTCTCAACATCTTGTTCTCAACATCTTGTACCTTACATGTGCTTGGTTTCAATTAGAGTAAGGCACTCGCCGAAGGATATACTGACCCATGCTGTCAGCTACAACAGACATGCATCATTACTGGCTTAATTAGAGTTTTAGTACTGATTAAAATGTTTTATTATTGTATTATCCTAAACTGCAGTGGTCTCCAACCTTATTAAGGGATACAGGAAAGATATAATTCAGGAATTTCAGTTGCATAATTTAATAACAGCCGGGTATTCTTGTGTCCAAAAAGACAATGTAAATTTTTTTTGAATGCTGCCTAATAAGTAGTAACTGAATATAAAATCATCTGAACATGCGATGCTGTCCATCTTGACGCCTATGGCAATTTACTTCAATACAACCACAAGGAGAAACATTTAAATCATCTCCAACTGGCAAGAACGGGGGAGAAAGTTAATTTCATTAGCCACGTTGATTTAATTAAATGGACAATATGCTTTTATCAGCAACTTGTACACATCCCCCTATCATTAGAAATGAAGTATAAAAGCAATTATCAAAAAATTTTGAGCAGGTACATATAACCCCTTTGTTGTTTACAAATAAGCATGACTTAGAGGCACTTGGTTACCTTTTAGTGAGGAAAACAATAACATTACCAGAGCCCACATGATAAGATTGGAGACCCCAAGTCAAACCTGGTATGAAAATGCTATCTGCCAAAAATACTGTATTAATGAACTAGTCAAGATACAACATTGAAAAAATATTCAGGCTTTGCAAGGTTCTAGGCTGTAAAAAATACAAAGGCTAAAAACACAAAAAGTTTACAAAATTTTGCAAACCCAGTAAATTGAAATGGGTAAGAAATGAAGCAGAACTATTTTACTTGCAAGAGAGACTGAAGAGTATCAATAAGGTTTATAATAATAAGAGTAAACAGTCTTGCTGTTTACTAAACAAATTCTACTTGACTATATCCACTTCTGCCCCTTTCAGGACTTACAATCTAGAACTTATACTTCTTCTGTGCCTAGCATTCTCACACAAACACACACACACACTCTCTCTCTCTCAATGTATGACACATACTATTGAACATATAAGATTTCAAAGAGAATACACGAAATGTTTAAGATACATATAAAGAGCTAACATGATTTTTTTTTTCACGTTAAAAGCACAATTGTTGGAAAACATTATAAAATTTTAAGGTGAAACAGCACAATAAAGAGTTTTTTTTTTAAAAGCCACTGATTGGTTTTCACTAGTGAAATAATATTAAATAATTTAATTATACATCCTCTCAATTACACTCAACCAGTGCTGTCTTAAGTCCACCGAAAATCAAAGCATTTCAAATCCTGATGGGATCTCACTTTCTGGCATGGCATGTAGTTGTACAGGTCATCTGCGGAAAGCACACCACTCTCCCCAACAACAAAATCCTAGCTCAGGCATGTGAAACCCATTAAGCTAACGATCATTAATGGAAACGAGGGACTAGACAAAGACAGACTTAAGCTTGCCAAGATGCTTCCAAAGATAGTAATGCTGTGTAAACATCTGCAGGACACCCTCACAGCACAGCTTTCAGGGCAGGCTGCCCACCACACAGGAAGCGTCAGCTACCACGGTTCCTTACGTGGGAGTCTCAGTGTGTCAAAACAGAGATTGGACAGAGATCTCCATTACTTGCTCCTGGTCAGCTTGTAGACATGGAATGCTTTGTTCTGAAACACTCGAGTGAAGTGTGCCACGTAGGGGGGCAGGTTCCTCTTTATCTCTTCACAGAAGCGAGGGTGGTCTGCAGGCTTCAAATCTGGATCATTCTCTCCAGGGCCATCCATCATCTAAAACCCAAGCCAACCCAAATGTAATTTGTTTGGGAGGGGGTAAGAATCACAACCAAAGCTGGGGGCAGTGGCACATGCCCATAATCCCAGGTACTTAGGAGGCTGAGGCAGGATGATTCCAAGTTCAAGGTCAGCCTGGGCAACTTAGCAAGACCCCCATCTCAAAATAAAATAATAATTAGAAAAAAAAAAAAGGGCTGAGGATGTGGCTCAGTGGTAGTAAACTTGCCTAGGATGTGCAGGGCTCTGGGTTCAATTCCTAGTATGGGGGCGGGTGGAAACAATAGAAGCAAGAATCGCTACTAAGTTTCCTTAGGGATGATATGTTAGTGAAACTATTATCTCAATGTCAATGGCTACTAGAGATCACTCTTCTTATCCACCTTAGTTTATACTTTTGGAGGGGGAGTCCAGACTTCTCCCCCTTTGAAAGTATAAACTAAGGCAGATAAGAAGAGTTGTATCCCACAATGATCATCAATAATGGCAAAGTCAGGACTAGAACTTGAATCTCCTTGTTCTTAGATAGGTACTATACGGCTTCTCTCACAAAAATGAAATACAGATTTCTACTAAAATCAATATTCTCTAACTTGTCAGAACTTATTACTAAGAATAAGTTACACACAAAGCAAAATTCAAATGCATGTCTTTAGTCTGTATCACCTTTGAATTCAGGCTAGTTGCTATTATTTATTTTGGGCAAAATCTGAATTTCATATTCTGTACAGTAAAGTGTTTTTTCCCCCCCCAAATTTAGAGGTCTATCATTTGGTCGCACTTATTTACAAATAGCTGCTTTTACACAACAGTTATGGCAGACACTGCTCTCCCACAAAAGGAGAAAATTCTGTTGGCTCTACTTGAGACCCAGCACAGCTCCAAGTATGTTTTCCTTGGGGGTAGAAGGCAGACACGGTTTGCCATCTCTCTGGAGTGCAGCAAGGTACAGAAAGTTATTTCCATGGCTGTTCTCATGTGCAGACCGAGGTGGAACAGGAGGGCCTGACCCTCCTTCAAAGGGAACTAGCTTTTTGCTTTTATTTTTCTTTTCTGGCTGGGCTGGTGGCAGGAGGCCTCTGAGGCCCTAGCATCTCGACCCTTTCCCATGCCTGGCTGCTCTGCTTGGTGGAACAAAGGGAGATGAAGGTAGGGCAAAGACTGGGGCTGAGACTGCACCAACTGCAGTGCCAGCACCAGTTGCCCGCCTGCCAGGAAGGTTCAGGGAAGAAAGCAGTGGGTGTTTGTGGCTGCTGAGGCAACCATGCCACGTCCTGCCTCACCAAGCTTCGGACCACTCCTGTATCTTTCAATGTTCCTAATGTTTTACTGACAGCTCCCCTGGGTGCCCACTCTAGAGACACTAAAAAGTAGGCTAGGTTGGGTAGAGATTGAGGGCTCCTGCTATCATCCACATGACTTGGAGCTGGGTGATAGTCAACACTATCACTGCTCCTAAAGTGTCACTGGAGGTGACAGCAGCTATGACTTCAGTCTCATTGCTTCTGTGGAAACTGTGGGAGCTGTCAATCAAGCAGCTTCCCCTTCAACAGTTGAGCTGACCTGTTATTGTGAACATTACAGCTACCCCAATATTCCCCACGCTCCTAATGGCTCCAGAAGATGTTGCTTTGGTTGCTACAGCTGTCCTAAACCACCCCAGGAGACCCGTGCCCTGGAATGGCTCTGTCTCTGTCTACCATGCATCTACTTCAGATGTCATCACTCTGGTCTGTGAATGATGACATCCATGACAGCCAGGACAGGCCAGCCTTTGCAGACTGGCATGATGGCACAGAAAGCCTGCAATTAGTGGGCAGGAGACTGTGTGCCTCTCAGCCTCACTGGGCCCATCTGGAAGTCCTGTTCCTTTGCTGCCCCTTTTGTGCTACAGCATAAGCCACAATGGTCTGGCTTAGTTTTATTTTGCCTATTCATGATTTCTATCTACAGTAGAAATAGGGCTGCCAGCCCTGAGAACACCTAGCAGTCAGAGAGCTGCGGAAGAGCTGCTGGGAGCTGTTAGCTCTGACTGCAGAAGGCTGTGAGAAGCTGTTAGCTCCAGCTACTGAGAGTGGCTGGGATAGAACCAAGAGCTGCTGGCACACAGAGCTCAGAGCTGTTAAGACTAAAGGAGCACAATTTGCCTTTTTGTAATTTTTTTTTGTGGGGGCGGGTACCAGGGATTGAACCCAGGGGCACTCGACCACTGAGGCACATCCCCAGCCCTATTTTTACTTTATTTAGAGACAGGGTCCCACTGAGTTGCTTAGTGCCATGGTGTTGCTGAGGCTGGCCTTTAACTCGCAATCCTCCTGCCTCAGCCTCTTGGGCCACTGGGATTTAAAGGTATGGGCTACCATGCCTGGCCCTTTTTGCAATGTCTATCTGAAGAAAGAGAAAATGTCCCAGGGCAGGCAGAAAGAACAGTAAGAATGGACCACCACCACTCACTCATGGAGGAACTAACATGATGCTTTGGAGCAGTGTTTTGAAGTTTGAAGTTTTGTTTTCAGTAGGAAGTTCTTAGAAACAGAGCTTCATCATGCAAACCAGCCAAAAGCAGAGTTACTGTTAAACACAGAATCGGGGACCTCAGAACTGCTCTCTCCCCTTGCCCAGCTCCTGTGGCAGTCACAAAAGTGCCAGGGCAGAGAATTCTGTAGAATGCATATAAATATAATTCTTGTGGATATATAAGGGGACTCTAGTCTATATGAATTTAAATTATAAAAAGATTTACATTACTTAGGATTCATATTGGAATTCCACCCCTTTGAGAGATTCCCTGCATGTGAGGAGGTGACATGCTCACGTGTCCATTGGCGACATCAAGCAGGTCCCGCAGCCGGCAGCCCCGGTGGTGCCTGCGTTCATAGCATATGCTGTCTTCCAGGATTATGTAGTCAGTGCCGAAGGACCTTAGAAGGGCATGCACGTCCTCTGGGGACCTCTTTGCGTATATCTGATAAACCTTCAAAATGAGATAAAAATGGAATATGGCAAAATACATCTTAATTGCCTGAGAGTTCATTGAGAAATATGAAGTAACCCCCATAAGGGGGTGAGCTAAGACTTAAACACACAGGTCTCCCACCTGCTGCCCCAGTTACTATCACTTATCTGCAGTGCTGGAATGTTGTATATGTGGGAATGGCTAAAAGAATACTGTAATTATTTACAGAGGGAGAGTGAGTCATGCTGAATACATTGAGATTCAGACACCAAATACACTTGAATTTGGAATGTATTATTTCAGATTATGAATATATTCATCAGTAGATGCCATGTCTAAGAATGCTTCATCAAGGTAATAACAACAACACAGGAAATAAGATAACATATGTGTTGGTAAGGAGGAGAGCTAGCTTCTGACGATGACAGGTGGGAAAAAGGACCCCTGAATGGGGTCCCTGGTCCTAGGTCATGGAAGCAACTGCTGCTATGCTGCTTCTCCCTTGACTAGGAGACACAGACATCCACCTCCACCTCTCATCCTTCCCTGGAGCATGAGTAACCTGCAGCCCCTGGGAATTCACTCCTAGTGCCAAGGGCCCCAAGTGAATGCACACCCTTTTGAGTGTCTTGTGTTCTGAGACCTGGCATTGGGAAGAGGTTGTGTGGGGCAGAGTGTGTGTGAAGGTCTTAAGAGAGATGCTGCTTCCTTTGTTATTACCCAATTTCCAGTTAGGAGCCCTGACTTATGGGACTGGGTGTGAGGGCCTGATTCAGGATGTTCACATGGAGAGGTGAAATGGTAGGGAGGTGAGCTGCTGCTCCTGTGAAAACTGAGGTTGGCCACCCCTCAGTCTAGCACAAGGGCTCAGATGGAGGTGTTCCATGCATGTGAAGGTCACGACTAAGGACAAGCACCAAGACTTGCAGGAGGTCAGTTATAAGGGCATAACACGTGGTATCTCTTTGCAGGGGCAGTACACAAAAGGACAGGTCTTTCTATGGCTCTCCAGCTACACAGCCTAGGCTATCTCCGACTGAACATTTCATTCTTCTTCTGAACCTGGAGCTGTCTGGAACACTAGGGCCATTTGAAAAATTCCCATTTTAGCAGGAGTCTAAGTTCAGATAATTTCCCCTAAAAATAGGGGATTTAGTAAAAATAATTTGCTTTAAAGCTAGTTATATCTCACCTAAAAATAAGACTCAACTAGTAACATTGAGAAATGACAAATATGAAACATTAAAAAGTTTGAAACCTTGCTGATGAGGACTAGGGAAGGGTAAGAGGTATCCTACTGCATTGTTAACTAGAATGTGAATTGATATAACCTGTGGGGGGGGGACTTGATAATATCTAGCTATCTAAATTACAGATGCCTATACCCATTGGCTTAGTGATTACACATCTAAGAATCTGATGTACAGATGCAAATATGCATATCTAAGCTTATTATTTGGAGCACTGTATAGGATTGCAAAAAGACAGGAAAATGGCCAATAGTTAAATAAAAATTGCTACATCCACATAAAGTATTATGCAGCTTTAACAAAAACAAGGAAGCTGTTAATATGTTGATATAGAATGAGCTCCAAAATAGTGTTGAAAATGCAAGGTGTGCTAGGCACAGTGGGGCACACCTGATTCCTAGCAACTTCAGAGGTTGAGGCAGGAGGATCCCAAGTTTGAGGTCAGCCTCAGAAAATTAGTGGGACCCTCTCACAAAGTAAGGGGGAAAAAAGGAGGTGGGGCTGGAGATGTAGCTCAGTAGTCAAGTGTCTCTGGGTTCAATCCAAAGTACCACAAAAAAAGCAAAAAATAAATAAGTAAAATAAAGAAAAAAGCAAGGTGTAATATGGCTCATTTTTTTTTAGAAAAAAAGGAGGAATATATGTATACATATATTCATATTCTTCAAATATGCATACACATATACATATACACATATATTCAAATGCATTCTTTTTTTTCTTTTTTTTAAACAAAGAAGGAAAAAAGAACACCTTGCTTTTTTGACAATATATTTTGGAGATCATTCTATATTAGCAAATTGACAGCTCCTTTGTTTTAAATACACACACAATATATATTATGCATGCAATATATATATATATATATATATATGATTGTTGGTATATTAGTAAAATACCTTAGGGAGGATACCCAAGAAGCAATTCACATTATTTGCTTCAGGGGAGGGGCACTAGTAGCTGGAATACAGGGATGGGAGGAAAACTTTTCACTAATTCCCCTTTATATGTCCTGAACTTTGAACTATGTAGTCAGCATTATTTATTTTAAAAAGAGCAACAACAATAATACCACATATTAGAAAACAGCCCTTAAAATGGTTTATAAAACTGTGACCAGTATGCCTCCACTCCTTTCCTTTCCTCCCCAACTCAAAACTCTGAGTGCTTTATCCTAAACAATCTCTTCTGCACATCCCAGGCCATTTATCTTCTCAGCTATTCCTGTGAGAGGAGCATGTATCCTCCTAAACTGCCTCTATTTATCTGTCTATCTATCTATCTACCTACCTGCCTACCAATTCATTCATTCATCCATCCATCCATCTTGGGGATTACTGACCCAGGGGACTTGACCACTGAGCCACATCCTCAGCTCCTTTTATGCTTTATTTTGGGACAGGGTTTCGCTAAGTAACTTAGGGCCTCACTAAATTACTGTAGTTAGTCTTGAACTTGCCATCTTCCAGCCTCAGCCTTCCGAGTTGCTGGGATTACAAGTGTGCAGTGCCTTTCTAGGCACCCTGAACAGCCTTTAGCAGATGGGAGCAGGCTGAAACCAGAATAGGAGACCAAGCCCCAGTTCCTTATGTGAACCTTTACCAACATGGATAGCCTGGGCCTTGACTGTCCACAAGCAGTGGGCAAAGGTTGAGATGGGCCTTACCGCTTTGGTTCGCTCCCTCAGGCTGTTGTCTTCATAGTGCGGGTGGTTGGTCAAGGTCCTGCCCGTGCACAGCTTGACTCCGGCCAGCAACTGCATGCTTCCAGCAAACACAGCCTTCCTTGGAGTGTGAGAACTAAAATATTAAGAGTCAGAATTCACTCCACTGCTAAGATTTCCTTGAAGACATCCAAGAAGACAGTACCACACTCTCAGAATCACCTAGTTCTGCTAGGAAGTGTAAGATTGGCATGGCCTATGTTCTGATTTACATGCCATCGATCTCACATTAACTTTCATATCCGTGCTTGACTATTCACTAGAACAATGGTCAAGAAGCATCTGACTTTCTGCTTTGATGCGTTTACTTTTACGATGAATTGTCTCAGGAGGAAGGCAGATATCTCCTGAATCTGAGGTTTCTGGGCTAACATCCATAGTTCTCTTCTCTTCTGCTCCTGTACCAAGGAGGCAGATTCTAACAAAGAGAACTCAGAAGATTGCCATTGTTTTTTATATTAAATGTAACTAATGGGCTGCCTAAAATAAACAAACTAGAAAGCCAGAAGATCTGAGATATTATTATGGATTACTTTAAAAGAAAAAAAAAACATAATTAAAAAGAAAACATGGAAAGAAGATTCTGAAATAGCATATTTTTTACCAATCAGTATGGGGATGTACACAATTACTGATGTGGAATCATTCCTTTTCTTTAGTTCTGATTAAAACTATATGCATTTAGGAGACCTTATATTATATTACAATCTCGCTTTCCAATTACCACCAAGCTATGATTCTTTGCCTCCCTTAGGGTAGTGGGGTTGAGGGCCACTGATGGAGGATCAAGGAAAGATTCCCAAAACACAGTGAAAGCATTTTTCCTCTCCTGCTACCCAGGAAAAAATAATCTTAGTACAGACCATTTAATTTCCTTCCATTTTTTGGAAACCTGCAAACCAATGAGGTGGTGTTGTTTTTCACCATGAGAAACACAACAGCTCTTCTAGGCATTCTCTCTAGTGCGGAATTCCCCATAGAAGTCACTAGGAATATTGCAAGGTATGTTTATCTGTCTTATATTAACAAAAGGAGTCTATGTCTGCTGAATTGAGCTAACGCGATAGAGGCTTGAGGAGTCTATCTGAAGCCATTCAAGCTCAACCACCTCTGCAGAAAAAGCAATAGGAGAGTCTGCTCTCAAGGTTTTGGAGAGCAAAGCATGAAACTTGCTCTGCTGCTGAGGTTTCTAAGAGACGCCTCATCATATTCATATATCCCACCAGGATGTTCTATTTATTCCAAATCAATGCTAAAACTACTGCATGAATGCCATCCAACAAAGGCCTTTGGATGTCTATGAGCAAGACATCCTACTATTCAAATGATGACATGTACAAATAATTTACTTTTTGAAAAATTCAAGATTTTCTCTCTAACTATGACACTCTCTTTCACTTGCATTCCAATAAGCCTTCTTAAGTGAGGAAAAGAAGTAGATGGAATTACAATGAGCACACAAGGAATGACACATAATCTGCATTTTCCCTCACCCATGCCAGAGTCTAGAATGTGGATTCCAACAGAAAAAAGTTGTGCATGAGCTTGGCTGTATTTGATAGGTTGTCATCATTCTGACAATGAGACCCAGGAACACAAGAACAAATAGATCTATGCTCTGTCCCCCCTCACAACAATTTACAGAGAGTCTTTGACACTTGTCCCACGTGGTCAGAGTAATAGGGTGGTTTAAATAAAAACATGAGAAGGTACACAGTGCTTGTGAAAGGTCTTACAGAAATTCCATTTAACTCAATACCTACTAAATACTTATTCTGGGCCTTATCTACAACGTCACTCTCATTTACAGTGTATCATAATTGCTAAAGAGGATAAATATGAACAAATATGAATTTTAAAAAGAGCCATCATTTTTCCAAGCCATTTACAATCCATCCTTTCCTTTTGGAAACTCTCAACTGGCATAAGCCATTCTGCTGCAATAAATCATACAGTCAACATTATGTATTAATGCCAAAAAGTGGATGGTCCTCGAACTGGACAGATTAAGAATGTAAGAAGAAAATGAGCCTGGTTTCTATGTCTGGCAGAGCAGAAGGCAGAGGTGAGAGCTAACAGGCAAACAGTTCTGGCTTCTATAGTTTCACTGCCTCAAGATGCCAGGCTGGTCTTTCCATACAAAAGACACATCCAACAGCTGAACTTCCAACATCTCCTTCAAATCACTAGCCTGTCTGGGCATCACCATTTGGAATATATAACAGGAATCAGTACCAAGAAGATGCAAAGACCTGTTCATAGTGTGCATTTCCTAATTATGACAGAGACAGATGACGGACCCTCTTATCTATTCACAGTTAATGACCAAGGTTTCAGCCTGCTTCCTGAACCATAATCGTAACTCCTGATGAAGGATGAGTTCACAAAGGTTTGAGTGTCAGAAGTCCTGAACTGCGTGCTTATTCTCTATTCATTCAAAACATATTACTGAGGGCCCACTATGTGCTCAGCTGACAACTTGTCTTTGAAAAGCTGGTTAAGAGAGTCAGAAGCAGCTCCCACTACAGCAAATGCTTCAAAATACACCAGAAATTAGTCTACTGTATACTTACTAATGCTTATTGTGAGCTTTCAACTCTGCTGGGGTCTGAACACATCAGACATTAAACAGGATCTCTTCAGTATGCCCTACCTGCACCTGAGCAATCCCCTCCCCTGAGCCCCTAGCAGGTGCAGCCCCCGAGGCAGCAGCAGACCATCAGCAGGCAGAGTAAGGAGCTGCCATAACTGCATACAGGAATTGAGAAAACAACGGAAAACACATTAGATTGTAGCATGTCTTAAATGTTTGGTCTTAATAGCAAAAAGTTCAAAAGTCTAAAAGAAATGCTATCTGTTTAAAACGGTTAGTGCAGCAATCTCTGGGTTGTTAACATACACTTTTACTGCAGCCCTTGGTTTTATTTTAAAATAGTAAAAATGAAATACTCTAAGGCCTAGAAAATGAATTAGAAATAATGCTTGTTTGAAAACTATTGACGTCCGAGGAGAGCAGAGATGACGTTTATTCACTGTATTCGGTTTGATCTGGTTTTATGTGCTGGGCTCATGGTAAATCTGGGTTATTTCACTGCTACTTTAAATATTTAACTTTACTGGTAAAGCAACTGCAAAAGTCAAAGCAATAAGCACAGTAAAAAAGACAAAGAATAATCACACATTTTCTAAACTTTAAAAAAAGTCTACATTTGTTGCATTTTATATTTTTTGTGGTGAAATCCACAGGCAAAGGGAGAATGGATTCTTTGTCCTTAACTTAGAATATGCACAATGACAGATCTGAAGACAGGCATTCTCCCTTTACAGACACTTGCACCTGATACAGTCTGTGGTCTGTATCTAAAATAGCTAATGTGCTTTTAACCATTGAATGACACTTCTCTATTATAGAAAAACAAAGCAATTTTTACAAATGTTTGAACAAATGATGTATAAAATGAAAGGATAATTTGTTTTTATAGCTCTCTGCCAAGCTCCATAGCAGGCTGCCCAACCTGCGAAGAATTTATTCTGTAAGAAATGTCACTAAATAATGACAAGGACTCACAGGTCAAATGGATTTACATTATATAATTTAAATGTCATTCTAGGAAGACCTGATGGCATTTTGAACAAATAATCTCATTTATTTTTGAAGCTCTAGGCTTCAACAAGTTAATTACTGTTGAACTAATGGGTAAACTGAGCATTATAATATCACGTGTGAACGTTTGCTTTATCTACACTTCAAAAATTTATAGAATTATGCAAATACCAAAAATGATTCATTGAACATCAAGGAGGTTTATAGGCACTTAAATTCTGGACTTAGCCCACCTCATCTTTAAAATATACAGTAATTCTTTCTACTTTGATTAAATACTTTGATTAAATCTCTGCATTTTTTCAGTCCCATTGAGAAAATACTGTGCATACAGGATTCATTATGGAAACAGAGTATTTCTAGTGAAAATCTTCTAAAGCCAAGAAGTCAAAATGACATACCTCAAAATATTCAGATCTCTCTATATTAATTCACTACATCAAAGAAAACTTTCAGGAACCAAAAATGAGACTCTCAGGACACAAGGAATGTGGCATGCACCAGGCTGTTACTGCATTTGGCCCTACTGAGTGCTGCCTGGATTTTGCTAAGATACTGGAGAAGGCAAAAAAATCCAAGTATCTTACTTTTGTCCCCAGAAACATTACCAGCAATGAGGGCAAATATGAACATCTGAATTTCCCTGTGCTTGGGTGTGAGCCAGCCAGGTGACCACAGGAAAAGTGAGTTATTGTACCTGGGGGCCCACTCCCACCAAAATCCTCAAGGATTAAAATGACTTTAATTAAAACACCACAGTGAACCCACTATTTTGTATAATTATTCTGCACCAATGAAGAAATTTTTAAGAATTTACAGTATTCTTGTAAAACAGAGAAATTTAATCCAGAAATATTTTTGGTTTTAAACCTAAATCTCCACTCCTTTAGAGAACTGGACAGGAAAGCATAAAACAACATTTCCTCTGACAAAAACTGGGACTCTAAAAACATTTTCCCACTAAACCTGTTAAGCCTTGAAAAATCATAAAATGGAGTGGAGAGCGGAAGAGAAGAACAAAGAGATAATGTTGAGAGAAAGTTTATTGCTTACTGCAGCGAAGAGGCAGTTAGAGCGGATGGCCTCTCAATGTTTACACCTTCAATACAATGTCGTGTATGTACCTTTGGTGCTCAATAAGTATCTTTTGGATTGTGTTAATAATTGAGTAACTGTAAAACCGTGAAAACACTACAAGGCCTTCAAGACTTTCACAGAAATCCAGTCTTGTTTGTATGGCCCCTCTCATAAGTGAGATCCTAAAGTAACATACTTTGTTTTCCCTTGAGTTTCTCTCTTTACCTCTAAAAGGTTATAACCTCAAAAGGAAAAGAAAATAACTACCTGGGCTGCAGCTGAAGCTACGGCATTTTTCAATCTACCTCTGCAGCAGAGAAGCCCCCAAGAGTCCATGCCTTGAACCAAAGCTCAGTGGCCTTGGAGCACAACAGAGAAGCCTGACATGGTGTGTGGTCTACAAGGTGTAAAGCCTGGGAGATGGTAAGTTTCTTCTCAATACTCCCCAAGAATCACCCTGTGCCAAAATGGGGGGGGGGTCACTTGAGGTATCCCTTAGAAATTCTGCAGGTCATCCTGAGGCAGTCATCCCGAGGCCTCCTGTATTGTTGGCCTGGAGAGATGCCATCATGACTGCCCTGACAAAGGACTGACATCTGAATGTGCCCACTTTGGCTTAAGACAGAGAAGACAGGATGGTGAGGACTGAGGCATCCCTTGCCAACAGGTCTGGGTCCCCCCAGGTGTCTGCAGCTGCTTTCAGACCCACACTGTGTATCCTTGGATTGCTGCCCTTCCTTTCGTGCAGTTCAGACTTTTTTTCTTTTTGTACCAGGAGTTGGATCCAGGGGCACTTAACCACTGAGCCATATCCCTTTTTTATTTTTATTTTTGGGACAGGATCTCATTAAATTGTTTAGGGCCTTGCTAAGTTGCTGAGGTTGGCTTTGAACTAGTGATCCTCCTACCTCATGCCCACCCCCTAGCCATGGGGATTACAGGCATGTGCCACTGCGCCTAGCCACAGCGAATAACATGGACGCAGTGTGTCCGTCAAATTAGTAAAGTTAAGTTGAAGGTCATATTTTATGTTTCAAAGATAGAATAAACCAGAGAGGTTAAAAGAATATTAAATACATTCCCTTGTGTTTGGAAAGCAAGCCTACGGACAAGAGCTGATTTGAATGTTGATTTAAACAAACATATTTTGTGTCTAAATAGACCCTATTTTGGCATACATTCATCATCACTTAAGCTTATTTTACAAACATGCCTAGCAGCTATTTTTACAAAAATGATAATTTAGATTTGAAGAATTTTAGGGGAAAACAGGCAAGATTAGATGACAATGGAGCCATTTTTTTTTTTTTTTTTTTTTTTTAGAACAATCTAAATCTTTCAGTTGCTGAGAAAGAAAACACCAACCAACCAAAAGACAGTCAAAGGGGTCTGTCTACCAGGGCACTCACTACTCAGGGAGAGGAGCTGCTGGGCCAAGGAGAATCTCAGGTGCAAAGACCACGTCCCCAACAGGGAGGAATAATAGATTAAGGGCTGCCATCTTCACACCTGAATAATTTCACACCCACAATTTTTCAGAGCCAGAAATGTTATTTTGATTTTCCTGGAGAAAAAGCATAAAAATAAAGGTACAGCAAATAAGCACATCCAGTTTGAGACAGCCAAAGACAAACTATGGCTCTGATAGAATACATTTTTAATGCTTCCATAATTTTATAATTTCTGAATTGGGAAATGCAAGTAGGGAAGCTTATGATGCTAATCCAGGCAGATCTGGAAGCTCCACCATCTTCAGGATGCTACCACAAGTGGATGCCCTGTAGCATTAATTCCAAAGGTATAATCTTAAAAATATAAAATATCAGTCTCACCTTCAGATGCATGTATCGTAAATTCCCAGTTGACTACAGTTAATGCAAAAGTAATTAGCTTTCTTTTATATGGAATAATCTTTCTTCCTCACATACAATAAATACTGAAGGAATTATTTACTCTATAATTGTCTGCCATGATTTAAAATTAAATAAATAAATAAATAAATACCCAGCACCGCGTACCACTCTCAGCACTAGAAATATGTGAAAAATTATACTCATTGCATCTAGACAAACCCAGTCCTACACTGGGACCAAAGCCACATATATATTTTAGACATAAATCTCTATAAAATCCATGCATTGCACTCAAGAGACCTCAGCTATCAAACATTTACCATCTCTTAATACACAAGCAGCACTAAACTGTACTGGTTAGTAAACATTAGTCATGAGCAAGTGCCAATACGGCTACTAAAATTCAAAGTGATGGAGACAACAGGGCCAATGCCTTCAGAATATGTCACACAAGATTTGCAATGTCTATTTACCTGTGAGTAATCACACTGCTGCTTTTTGGTTATAAAGTAGAGAGATACAATATTACAGTGTACAGAAATGCAGGTCAGGGTAGAAAAGTTTATTTTTGCTTGTGGGAGTCAGGTTTCATGAACAAAGCTTTGAAATACATGGATTTCACTCTGAGGCTCAGGCTGAGGCAAACCAACCAAATGCAGTAAAAATAAGAAACAATATAATGCTAAAGTATTTTATCTTCAAGAGAGGAAGAGCCCCTGTTTTATATTTAAAATTCTCCTGAGGCTCATGGATCAGTGAAAATGAAATCTGCAACGAGCTATTATGATTCTAATGAATGGTAGTTTATACTATAACTTTAAAATAATTAACAAGGAAAGAATACTTTCAAGCGTCACCATTACCAGAACTTGAATGGTATTAAAGCGAAACAATAAAGGCAAAATTGGCAAAGAGTAGAAAACTCTTAAGTTTTAACATAAGTAAAAATTTTACTCTGATTTCTGTCAGTGTTTGAAAGAAATTTGTTTTCTGATCCTGTTGGAGAGAATATTTCTTGAATGGAAATAGCTATTTCCAGATACAGAGTTTTAAAGAAAAAAAATTAATAAAAATGAATGTTTCCTCACAATTAGATTAAGAAAAAACAAACAAAACAAAACAAAACCTCCACCCCTTCCCCCAAAGTAAATGAGATACACAGTGACTCTAAAAAAGTTGAAATTTTAAAGGTTAAAAAAACTCCTCTTACTTAATCCAGTTCATCAGCTCCACTGTATCTGGGTCATAGAATTCTCTCAACTCGGAGAGCTCATCCATCATTCCTGGCCAGAACTGAAATTAAAAACAAAACAAAACAAAAACAAAATCCACCCCCATACCCACAACTATCACTAAGATTGAATGGAAAAAAAGAGAAACTGTATATGGCTTGTGGACTAAGTAGACATGGAGGCTGTGACACAGAGCTGCGTCTTCTCTGCAGCCAACCCTCCCAACACCAGTGTGCTGAGGTCCAAGGAAAGTCTACAAAATTCTCCTGTGATGAGGCCATTCAGGACCAGAAATGTTGTCAAATTTTTAAAATGAGCTTTCATTTTACCCTAGGAGAAATGCTGTTGTAGGTGGTGCTAATATCTAGTGAAACAGTACTTTGTTATGACAAGAATATCAACCATGAGAAAGTTCACAGTGTATTACAAAAATGTAATTAACTAATATCATGCAATCTACACTTAAGAGTTGAATGTGTCCACAGGAGACAGCACCACATTACAGCTGTAAACATGTATTTAAATGCAGAATCTCATTTCTGTCCTCACGATAACCCATGAGACAGATGATTCAGCAGGAAGCATCGCTATCAGAGTTCTTTTTCATTACAAGTCTAGAAACTGGCTCAGAGAGAATACTGACTTGACCAGGTCACAAGTGGCAGAGCCACAGTTTTGAAGTTGCCCCCAATCTAGAACCTCTTGTCATTGTATAATATTGTAATTATATTTTTGGCGCTAAAAATATGGTCAAATGGTTTGACATACATTAATAGAATCACTAGTGCAATGGAAAAGAATAAAAGCAGGACCCTCTAGGAAATTCTGATGTATTTGACTACCTTATTTATGCCACCAGTGCCTCTTGGTCAACCTAAAACTTCAAGTTATATAGATACAATATAAAAATTAGACTCTGAATCCACTGCTTATCTAATAACAACAGTCTGTTTATTTAATCATTTAATTAAATCTTAATTGCTTTATCAAATGATGGTTGACTAAAAAGATTTGATCATCTATGCACATCCTAAGGTTAACTGCAGAATTCATTTCATGTATTGGCAGAGAAGACCAATGACAATGTATTTATGCTTCCATGATACTGAAAATGTGATGATTTTAAGATCCACCAAGTAGAAACAAAGCAGCACCTGACTGGTCTAGGCTGGGTTTAGCCTGTTACTTTGTTATCCTGTATCTCATCTTTGGCCACTTTTTACTGTTCACTCACATGGTGTCTCCTGGGTGAGTGAATCAGGAAAAGTGCTAGGGATGGAAAACCAGGTGTCAGCATTTCTGGTACTAGTTTTTGGAAGGCAAGTAGTAAAAATTACTGGTCAAATGATCATTTTGTAATACTGTAACTATTTTCCCTGTTAATTTGAAAATCAGAACACTAGAATTTTAAATGAAATGTTCTAATTCTTTTACTATGTGAATTCAATGGCCATTAGATATTTTTGTAGTTTTACAGTTGCTGTTATCAATGCTAAAAATGTTAAAAGCTTCTAAGAGTCTTGTGGAAAATTTCTTAAATATGAAGGTGAGTGCTATTTTTAAATAATTAAAGGCTATTTTAAAATAAATGGCAATAGTTTATTTGGGATTCCACAAATCAAATTAATAATCAAAACCACAGTAGCTTTTATTAATTCAGCCTTCAGAGTAGAGACTAGCACATACTTTTCTCTTTTAATAAAATTATCCTAAAGAGAAAGCAAGTAATATTGGTACTACAAACAAATTTTGAAATCCTCATCATAATTGTCAGGTAACATTCGACTCAGGCTTTGGCAGACATGAATTTGTATTACATGTAAGTCTGTAATAGTTGGAATAGATGGAAAATAGATTGCTTCAGGATAACTCCTAATATGCACAACATCTTTTTTTCTCTGACTCTGTATTTCATAAATTTTGAGAACTATTTCAACTATTTTATGCAATGAAAATTGGATGTGGTGGGATTTCTCCTGAAGGCCTATTCCCAGAGATACTTGGCCGACAGGCTTCTGGAGGGTTCTCTCCAATACCAACCCTCTAACTCAGGGAGAAGTACATGGATTTCCTGGGGAGAATGGCTTTCCTAGTGCCCTCCCTGATTCTTCATTAGCAAGGGTTCATAAGAGGAGTGAGGAGAGGGATTCTGATACTCACTCCCACCTTGGGAAGCCTGGAAACGTAAGGGGGTAGGGATGTGGGGAGGGTGTGCTACTGGCATCCACTGAGTGGAAGGCAGGATGTGTCACACTATCCTATTAGGCTCAGTACAGCCCCCTATGACAGAATTATCCTGCCAGAAAGTCAACAGTGCACTGTTGAGAACCCTGATAACACTACAGCAGGGTTTTGTAAACGTGGTGGGACATGTGCAGCAGTAGCAGGGCTAGAACGTCAATTGCTGGACTCTCCTTGCAGAGCTTCTGACTCAGTAGGTCTGGAGTGTGACCCAAGCACCTGTATTTCCAAGAGTTCCCAGATGCTGCTGGTGCTGCTTGTCTGAGAACTATGCCAAGGTTCTACAGCACAATTTCTTTCTTCTACCATGTCCTTCCTCAATTGTATCAAATCAAGAGACCAAAGTCCTCAAATAGTTTTTTAATAAAAAAATCTATAAAATATCAGTAAGTAGCTGAGACATGAAAGAACTCAGCCTATGTGTCTCCAGCTGATGGCCAAGACAGTCACAGCTCACACCCACCTCCAGAGGTGAGATGAGAATGACGAGGAGCCAGATTTTTTCTAGGAGGAGGGAGTTTTAGTTTCAAGGTCAATGTGTAAGATTACATTACCTGACTCCTCACTAAACATATACTGTTTAACACATAGCTGTTGCTTTCCAGATATTTTAAAGAAGTTTCACTTATTTACATCAGAGCAATAAAATTCCCAGAGGCAAGAAGGCAGAAATCTATTTCTATGTTTTGCAACATCTAGCAGTTGGCACAGATCTCTGTCTATAACAGTCCATGTTCTGATAGATAGGAAAATGACAGAACATAACTAAAAAAATACTTGTAATACAGTGATTATCAAATATATTTATTTTTAGCCTACAACCTTTGGTTCACAATATCTGACATGAAAATAGAAGCAATCAAAAGCTGAGCAGCTTCTATAGCTGATCCTCTCTGGGGAGGACCCCATCTCCACATTTAACCACCCTCCCAAATCAGGGCCTTCATGACAGTAGAGTGATAAAGCCATTGTTCTAACTTAAAACAAAAACTGAAAAACAATCTAATCTTTAAAAATATGTATTTTTTCTTTAAAGAGAAGGCAGGAGTTCAATTGGATAAAATAATCTGTGCTACTTGCCCTGGTGATACTTCAAAGCCTATAAGCTCAAGGATGTACAAAAGAATCCAAAGTAGTCAAACTGATCAAGGATCGTTGCCTCTGACTGGATTCTCAGATCTGAAGCCCAGTTCATATTGTTTCAGAATTTAGTCAACTGAGCATATGAAAAATTTTGCTACTTCCTATTGAAAACAGAAAACAAATTTTTAAAAAGCCTAATCTCACACTGTATTTATTTTAAGACTTCAGTTCTCTTACGAAGTTTAGAACCCAATAAAATATTTTAAAATAGATTAAAATAAGATTTTTAAAATCTCTTATGCTGTATGAATTGGCTAACAGGAAAAAATAATTTTTTCTATTTCATTCATTTCATAATAGGTCTGAAAACGTCTTATTTTCAGAATTTGCATCAGTAACAGTCAAAATCAAGATTAGAATGCCAGTGCTAATAGTTTCTGCTATGATATTTTTACTTAGTAAGAACTATCTGGGAAAGTCATCAGTTTTCCCATCAATGCTAACTGCAATAAAAAACTAAGGAGATTGTTTATAAACTCCAATGACCACTTTATTTGCCAAATAACACAAAAATACACTGAGTCAAAGCAAATTTTATGCTAAATAAATTAATGACAAGAATGAGGAAAATTGGTCTTACCTTGTAGCACAGATACAGCAGTATTAATATTGGTACTGAATATCGCATTATACATATCTATATAAGAAAGACACTATTTAGATTACAAGCATTTTGAATACTTTTGCCTTATGGTTTTGCTTTTTAAATATGTGCTTCTTTTGAAATAACAAAAACATAATATAATGGTGCATGAGTCTCCTGTATGCAAAACTGAGTCAATTTAAGGGTTTAATCATTCATAAAGATAGTTGTAGCTTCTACCATATTGCCACCTAGTGAACTGAGAGGGCAGAACAATTCAAAACTGCATTTTCAGGTTATTAAATATTGTAATACATTTGTTAATAATTATTTTGAGGAAAATACCTTATAATAATAAGTTATAATTCTGGATAAGAGGACTATTGATGAATTTTAATTGCCCCTTTTGTGTATATTTCTAAAATTTTTCAATTTCTATATAATAAACATATTTACCTTATAGTTTTGGGGAAAAGTTAATGATTTTTAAAAACAAAATTAAAATTAACAAGTTACTTAAAAAATAATTCCTTATAAATTCTTATAATATCAATTATTTTTAGTTTCAAATTTTAGTATCCATTTTACATGAGTAACATATGGGCAACTACTGAAGAAAAATCAAGAACAGGAATGAAAGAAATACTAAAAATCATTAAAAATTAAATGGAAAACACTGACCCTCTTTGGGTTATAAAGATGGACCAACTTCAGAAGCAATTCCCAAATCTCAGGGCTGCATAAGCCAAATGACGCGAACACACACATGTGAGATGTCCAGAGGTACTTCATCCTGAAAGGACAGAAACAGAGGAGGTCAGCAGTTCCCAGTGGGTATGCACCTGGGTTGGAGACAGCTGCAAGGGCAGCTGCACAGTCAGTAACAGGAACATCTTACTTAAAGCTATGCAGAAACCATTTGCCATGGGTTAGTTCTACTGCCTCTGGGAACTATCCCATGAGTAAAACATATTTCCAATTAAGAAAAAACTGATTATGAATAATATTTTGTAGTAAGGTATACATGAGGACAATTTTACGGGAATGATAATCATTAATGAAGATGACTACTAATTTCCAAATTATATTGCTAAGTAACATTAAGTTAAGAATGGATGAAGCTGGGCACAGTAGCACACGCCTGTAATCCCAGCATCTTGGAAGGCTAAGACAGGAGGATAGCCAATTTGAGGCCAGCCTCAGTAACTTAGTGAGGCCCTAATCAACACAGTAGGATCCTGTCTCAAAATCCAAAATAAAAAAGGCTGGGGATGTGACTCAGTGGTAAAGCACCCCTGGTTAAATTCCCAGTAACACCCTCCACCCAAAAGAACAGATGAATTAAAAAACAAATCAAATAGACTGGATAAGACAAAAATACCTCATGGTACTCAATGCTAAGAATCCAAACAGAATGGTGTGTATTAAGTTGTAAGCAGTTTCTGGTTTCAGGTCAACTGTGCATTTTCCCATTTTACCCAGGGATTGTTGATTTGCAGCATCACTGAACAAAATAGCAAACGTACAAATTTAAAACTAGATCCATACTTTTAATTTAGTCACATCTTATTATTTCCCCTAAGATGAAATGAACTAGCATTGATCAAATTTTACTTTGAAGCTAAAACTGTCACAATGTAAATGGATAAGTAGTTAGAATAACTAAAATTTCATAGCAGATTTTAATTTAGGTAAAAATTTAAAGTACTTCAATTCTTTAAGAGAAATAGCAAAAAATAAGTCCTGCTGGAATCACTGAGATGGGAGGAGATCTTGAAGGATGTTTTATGTTATCATTGGCATTTTGTATATTTTTATACAGAAGCAAAAGTCAAATGTATCTGTAACTTGGAATTCAATTCTTTGTGAACCAGTGATCACATTTTTCACCTACCAATACTTCATTGTATGTTCAACAGATAACTTTTATCAAATAGTTACATTAAGTATAACCCCAGTATAATGAACACTAGCTCTTTAACGTCATCCGACTACTCAGTATGTATTCTACTTTCCCTGTTTGCAGCAATTGCTTTTTTCAGATAGTTCCTTTGGATCAGACTCTAAAGCTTGCATGTTGCATTTCTTGATGTTTCTCTTCAAATATCTTTTGATCTATAAAAGGATCTCTCTCTTTTTTTTTTCTTTCTTTCTTTTTTAAAGGGATATGTATTTAAAGAAAATGAAGCCTTTGTACAGTACCTCCACCCACCTTCTGGATCTGGCTGTCTCCTTATGGTGGTGGTTACTACCTCTCTCTGTTCCCATGTTTCTTGTAAAAATAGAATTAGATCTAGAGACCAAGTTCATCATTCTCCCGCTCTAAGAACACTTCCCACAGATAAGATCTACTCCAGCATTACACTGGGAAGCATGTGCTATTTGGCTGTCTCTACTCTAGTGAGGTTAGGACTGGGGAGTGAATTCAGATGTTGCACAATTTGTTTCAGAGGGGAAAAGAATACAATAGTAAGGGTTTCCAGGTTTAGAAAAAATCAATACTTTTAGAAGGGCCCTACTGATCCTTCATATAAATTCAACAGAACTGGATACATATATTGCTTTTCTAGGTAACAAGAGACTCTTATTTCTTAGAAATCCTCTTTTGACCACCACAGATTCATAGGAATATTAAAATGATACTCTATGGAAGCTTTTACCATTGATAATAATTACTTAAAATGATAATCCAAACATTGGCTTCTATGTACTTAAAGATTACTCCAGGAGAATATATGTTGGTAACTTCCTTTGACACATGAGAGAATTTGCAACTCCTTCTCTGTACCCTTGCCATGTTGGAAGGCTCTGATGAATGCCATGAATACAGAACATGGTGTCCCTTTCAGTTTTATCCTTCCTACCACTGTAGACGTGTTATGTCAACATCATAGTATTGTCTTAGTACTATAAAAGCAAAAATATTGGGTCTTGAAAAAATATCCTTTAATACTTGAAAGTTAATTCATTAAGATACTATCATTTCTTAGTCTAGTAGTGCTTTCCTTCTAATAATCTTTCTAAAATCCCTACCTTGTAGAAGAGGATGCTCTTTATCTATAGTCATATTCCAATTCAGCCTCCAGAGATGGCTGCTAGGTGCACCCTGAGCATGGCAGACATGCTCACAGAGCGCTGCAGCCCAGCTGAACTTCCTGCTTTGGATGTGGTCTAGAGTCCTGTCAACACTTGGCATGTCTGGAATAATATTAAATTATATAGACCAGGGCTAAATTTTACCTTGGGTTAGGCATAAAAAAAGAACACTTCTGAAAGATACTAAAATAGTTTAATAGTCAATGAAATATTTTCATGGTTCAATGTTGCTTCATTCTTAATAATCATAAAACACCTCAACTGATCTGGATCGCTTCAGCAACAGCTCTCTTGTGGCTGTGAATCACAGCTCACCAGCAACTTAATTGGCCAGGTAACTACAAATAGAAAGGAATTTCTTGGGAGCTTCATTAAGTTTTCACAAATGACAGTAGCTTCAATTTCTTACACTTAATTTTCTTTCAATTTTAACATGGATAATAAATGCAAAAACCCCACAGGCTTGATAGATAGGAATTCTACAAGTTTTTAAAAAGGCTTTAAAACTCCCTGACTTTCTCTTTCAATGGATTGGTGGACATGCTCTAAGTTTTTAAAAACTGGCAATTATTACTTAAAACTTATCTATAGTCATATACTTTAGATAATAATATACCAACTCAGCTTCAGACCATTACATTGTTGGTTTCTGACATAAAAAATTGTAATCACTGTGCTTCAGCCTTCTCCCTCCCCCTGACATCAAAAAGTCATCTTATATTTATTTTGCGTATTGAAAAGCATAAGATGTCTGAATAAAGTCTTATCTTCTAATAAAGTCCTAAAATAGATGACTTTGTAAGCCCTGAAATAAGATGTAAGAAAACAAATGAATAATAATTAACTTCTGACATTTCACGAGAAGGAGGTAGAAAAAATAGAAAAAAACAGAAAACCAATAATGGAAACAGAGACTTATGAATCACCAATAATAATACTATCGAATGACAGTTCACACCTACAACATATCCTAGTGTGAGACGCTATTTTTAAGTACTTTATGTTGTTTTAACTTACTTATTCCTCATAAAGTTGTGTGGAATAAGTACTCTCTGTATTCTCATTCTACAGACAAGGAAATGAGATACTAATAGGTTATGTAACTGCCTCAAAGATCACATCATTCTCTAGTGTGCAGTTGAGACTTAAACTCAGACCTGTTTGCCATGTCCACTACTCTGGTGTCGTTTCACCCCTCAGAGTAAAATCCATTCTAAACTAGACATGTTCTCTATTTAGGATAACTGTTTTGTTCTATGTCTGATATTTTGATTTTCAGCTTAAGCAAATTTTCTATAAACCCAGGACAAGTTCATTAAATCATAAGTAGGTTTCTGAAACACTCCATACCTGAGATTTTGAAAGGCAACAACTAAGGCTGCAATCACTGTGATGGACAGAACAAATATGTAAGCATAAAAAAGCAGGGTATCTGAAAGCCTTTCAAATGTATTAAAGGGCAGGAGGCCAAAAGCTTCTTCACACAGATACAGATTTGCATCAAAATCCCTGGGGAACAAATGGAAGGAAAAGTGTTAAATTCAATACAAGGTAAGGGAACTACATAATACTTCTTGAAATAAGTCTGCAATTAATATTTGAAGGCATAATGATGATTTAGCTGTAAATTCCCTGATGCTTTAAGGTAAAATAGCAAACAGATTTTCAATTCAATCATACCTTGTTGCTCCAAACCCAAATTTTGCCTTTAGAAATTTAAATATGTGTTCATCTGACTTCAGGTTAAGAATTTTCTATTGAAGAGAGAGAAAACAAAACTTGCTATTAGTACCTTAGGCAGGTTTCATGATAATTTTCTCAAGAAATATGCATATCCAGTGTCTAGTTTCATAGGAGTGTGTATGAAATTTGTAAACATGCACAGTATTTCTCCACACTGATTCTAAAGCAGGAACTTCAAACTCCCTTCTCTGCCTACACTTTCTCTTTAAGGATAATCCTTTATTCAAACATCTTATGCATATGTTCAATTTGCAAAATAGATAAAAGATGACTTTTTTGATTTCAGGGACAAGGAGAAGGCTGAAGCACAGTGATTTTAATTTTTTACATCAGAAACCAACAATATTATGGCCTAAAACTTCAAATAGGTATTTAGTCTGTTTGGCTTTAGGGTTTTAGTCAGCAGATACCAACCTAAAATTCATTCACTCAAAGACCATATTTAAGATAACAGTAACTCTTAAGAGGTGAAGAGACAAATGCCATGTTCATCATCTAGTCATTATAACTTTAATTCACATAATTTTATTTTTAATTTATAGTTTTCAAAAATAGATACAAATGATGAACAAATAAAAGCAAAAGAAAGATGAAGATAGAAAAAAGTTGAAGCCAGAATTGAGGTTAGTACATAAAATATATCACTAGACATGAGCCACAAATCTGGTCTTCTGGATTTTAGCAGTAAATGCAAAGAAGAAGAGAAAAGCATGCATGATACTCATAGAGCTGTAAGATTAAAACTGAGGAGAGATGCTTACAGTCTGAGAACTAAGACTCAAGAGAACTTTTTCCCATGGTACAGTAAAAACAACAAGGAGTTTCACAGTTGACTTTTTCTAATCCTTCTCACTGGAGGTAGCTGGCAAAATATCAAACACCATTCAAGAAATACTACTGGGTGGGGGGATTGTCATAAAACAGAGATTGAGGCATGAAGCTCTCTGCTGGTTTAATTCAAGAGCCTATCAATAAATGTCTAAAGTGGGTAAGTGGATTAATCCTTATCTTTCATCCAATTTTACAGAAATGCTGGAACCCCCATGGATAGCAAAGTCCTCAAACGCTAAAATCCTTGTGTAGCATGGTGTAGTACTTGCCTATAATCCGCACACATCATCCTGTACACTTTAGATCATCTCTGGATTATTGTAATAACTAATACAATGCAAACGCTATGTCAATAGCTGTTAAACTATATTGTTTAGGAAATAATGACAAGAAAAACATCTGCAAGTGCACAGTACAGACACAATGTTTTTCCCAAATATTTTTCACCTGCAGTTGGATGCAGAGTCTGTGGATGTAGAACCTGTAGTTGTGGAACCCACAGATACAGAGGGCTGACTATATTGAACTGTATGGAATTGAAGAATACAGTGATGAGGACTTGGAATGAGATATTTATTGAGGCTGGCTGAGTGAAGAGACTTTTTTCTTTGATAGTGGGTAAAAACAATGACAGCCATTCTTCCCTGGAGGAAAAGAAGCCTGTTTTGCAGAAGTCTCCTATCCGGAGACCAGCCTTCTAGAAGAGGCAAAAATCATCTAATAAAATCATAGCAGCTTTGCTTGAGCATACAATGATGACCTCAAGGTCCAAGAGTTACATTCTGAAGCAAAGCCTACTCTCAAAAAGAAAAGAAAAAGCCAGTAAAAACATTAAAAAGCATGTTTAATGAAGCAGCCCCCTAAGGTACTTAAAGAAATTGTAGCCAAGCTTCTGGGTATGTAACAAATAAATGCCTAAATTACTAAATGACTTATTCTGCTACAGAGGGTCACTAATTTTACGTCAGTTAAGTATTAGAAAACTACCAAAAATGAGCTCTTCTTTCTAGCAGAAATTAGACAGTAAAGCTAGTGTATTAACTAACTGAATCCAATAAAAATCATGTCAATGTTTTTAGTAACACAGTGTAGAAAACTATGTAAATTTAGAGAAATATTTCATTTTTAAGGGTGAATCTTAAAAAATTTAATAATTGGGGAATTCAACGTAGAATATGTCAAACAAAGAGTGAACAGAAGTGAATGAGTAAAACCAACCAAAGTCATCCTTGTTAGTAGGACAAAGTTAAAACTGAGCCTGTTTAAAGTAAAACTGGGGGCTGGGGATGTGGCTCAAGCGGTAGCGCGCTCGCCTGGCATGCGTGCGGCCCTGGTTCGATCCTCAGCACCACATACAAACAAAGATGTTGTGTCCGCCGAAAACTAAAAAACAAATATTAAAATTCTGTCTCTGTCTCTCTCTCTCTCTCTTTAAAAAAAAAAATAAAGTAAAACTGGTAATTCTTCAAGGAGCTAATATGCTTTATAATGCAAAAATTGACAAATTTATTTCTTTAAAATTAAATGCTTAAAAAATTATTTCCAATGCCATAAGTAAATTTAAAAATACATTGTATGTTTCATTTCTTAACCTACCTTAATAATGCAGTTGAGAAGAAGTGTCAAACAGAAAACTACAAATAAATGTAACAAAAGTTTCCCAATCCTATTAAAGAAGCTTCCAGTTTTCAGGTTTTTCTAGAAATTAAAAGAGTTGTGTTTTAATTCTTACATTTTAATACAACTTCAAAAAACACTTAAGATGAGATTACTTAAGGATTTAAAACATTGGCTCATGCAACAGGTAGGGAAAATGTATGTGGAAAATATAACGTACTACTTTATGAGGTTACAACTGTCTTAATATTTTTAATTTTCTAGTAGTAAATGAGTCCCTTAATAATGAACTTCATAGCCAGGCATGGTGGTACATGCTTGTAATTCCATGATTTGAGAGACTGAGGGAGGAGGATCACAAGTTCAAGGTTAGCCTCAGCAACTTAGTGAGACCTGTCTCAAAATAAAAAATAAAAAGGACTAGAGATGTAGCTTGGTGGTAAAGCACCTATGGTTTCAATGCCATAAATAAGCAAATAAATAAATGGGGATGTAGCTCAGTGGTAGAGTACTCCTGGGTTCAATACACAATACCCCCCCCCCCGAAAAAAAAAAAAGGAGAGCACGCTTCAAAAGATGAAGGGATGTGTCCTACTCTTTTTCTTTCTTTCTTTTTAAAAATCTTTGCAACCAGAGTATTGAGGTCTGCCACTTGGAAAATACTTAGGATACACTGACTGAACAAACCTTTGTATCTTTTATCCATTAATTAACTTATCACACAGGGATAACCCAATTAAACAAAAGACAAATAGAAAAAAAAATAAATTCTGTTCTCTGATGTGTAATAATTTTTATATAATCCCTAATAAATAAATAAATTATATATATATATATATTCAAACATAAGAATATTAAGAGTTCAAATATGAATGATGTTTATTTATAAGAAAGGTTAAAAGGATGAGAACTACTGTTTTTTCGTTTGTTTGTTTGTGGTACTTGGGATTGAGCCTAAGGGTACTTCCTGACTGAGCTACATCCCCAACCCCTTTTTCCTTTTTCAATTTTAAAAAATATATATTTATTTTTTTTAGTTGTAGTTGGACATAATATCTTTATTTTATTTATTCTTATGTGGTGCTGAGGATCGAACCCAGGGCCTCGCACGTGCTAGGCGAGTGCTCCATCGCTGAGCCACAATCCCAGGCCCTCCGTTTTAAATTTTGAGACAGGGTTTTGCTAAAATTCCTAGATTGGCCTTGAACTTCTGATCCTCTTGCTTCAGCCTCCTGAGTTGCTAAGATTATAGGCATGTACAAACACATTCAGCAAGAACCACGGGTTCTTTTTTTTTGGTACTGGAGATTGAATCCAGGGCCTTGCACATACTAGGCAAGCACTCTATCACTGAGTCATATCCCCTGTCTGAGAACCACTGTTTTCTTCTTCTTCTTTTTTTTTTTGTAGTTGTAAATGGACAGAATGCCTTTATTTTATTTGTTTATTTTTATGTGGTGCTGAGGATCGAACCCAGTGCCTCACACATGCTAGGCGAGCACTCTGCCACTGAGCTACAGCCCCAGTCCCAAGAACGACTGTTTTAAAAAAAATGTTTTACAATTCATCCACAGCAATTCTCACTCAAAAGAGATTTTTCTTCCCAAAGCAGAATGCAAAATAGTTTCTTAATATAGAAATGTTTATAGCAAATGAGAAAGAAAATAGGCTTTTGTAACAATTTTAAGGAAAAACAAGTAAATTTAAACACTTAAATCTCATATAAATTTAAGAATCTCATATAAATTTAAAAAATATATATAAAGTATATATTGTTTATAGTTGGAGGTGGACAGAATACCTGTATTTAATTTATTTATATGTAGTGCTGAGGATCAAACCCAGGGCCTCACAATGCTAGGCCAGCACTTTACTGCTGAGCCACAATCCCAGCCCAAGAAATTTAATAATATAATAAAGTCAAAAGATTGGGTCAATGTTTAATTTTTTTATGGTGCTGGGGATCAAACTGAGAGCATCACACATGCTAAGCAAGCTCCACTGAGATACACTGCCAGCCCCAGGCCAATGTTTTCAAATTGGATTTCATAGTAACTTAGAAAATGACCATATGTCTAAAGGTATTTATTTGAATTCTTAAAATTCTCAAAATGGATTTAACTTTAGTTCAATTAAAAATCAGTACCAGAAAAAAAAGAAAAAGAAAAAAGAAAATCAATACTAGGGTATGGAAAGATGGGAAGTGTAGTATTATCAACTCCAACTATTGTGATGAATCACCACTCACACAAGCAGCAGATCCTTTCATTCTTAAATTTGTATACACACACATACACAACAATTTTAAAATTTTTTTTTTAAAAAAATTTCAGGGTTAAGATAATGGTATTCAATAAGCACCTGTGGCTAATCACTGAATTAAGGTTTCAATTCTCTAAGAAATAGGAATTGCCGAAAGGAAGGGATGGCAGGTGACCTCGGAAAGATTCAAACAGAAATGCTATAACATGCACTTAAAAAAAAAAAAAACAACAACAACGAATAATAACATTATGCTTTTTTCTGGGAATTGGGTCATAAATTTTCCCTTGTATGCTATAGGAAAATAAGATCTGGGGAACAACACAATTTTTAAAAAGTTTAAGTACAAAAAAAGTCTTACCTGAAGTTTTCTTGCAATTAATACTGAAAGGTTAAAACTGATAAGCAATGAGCCAAGAATCATGGAATTAAAAAACTGAAGAACGCAGACCAGGAGTAAGCCTGTTATCTGTATTCCATACAGCCATGTGGCCTGCAACGAAGATGAGATGGTTAAAGAGGTTTTATCAAGAGACCACCACATGGCAACAAGTTCACCAGCTGGATGCATCTCAGGTTATGAAGAATGCAGAAAAGACACCTCACTTCAAGAATCATGATCTAAATAAGGGACTAGATTGCTAAATTGTTGAGGATGGCTTTGAACTCACAATCCTCAGCCTCCCAAATCGCTGGGATTACAGGCATGCACCACCTTGCCTGGTTTGTAATCTGCTACAGTTACTGTCTACAGCCAACAGTCAGTACTTTATCACATTCCATTATTCCCTAGTTCTCTTCACTATGCACTTTAGGGCTGCATCACACCGGGGTTCATTTTTTCCTACCTCTTGTGTGTGCCTAATCCCCTGATAGCTGAAAACTCCTCCAGCAAGGCTTTCTGCTCTTTTACCTCATTGGTTCATAGCAGGTGAGAGTGTGAAGAGCGTGAGCCCTGGAGGTGACAGCTCCTGTACTGTGGTCTGACTAGCATGAATCAGCTGTGAAACATGCTGGAAATGTTTAGTCTGAGTAGGTCTGAGGGAGGTAATGCATTACCATGGCTGGACTGTAATAAGCACTGAGGTTAACTCTGATGTAATAAATAAAGCATGGTGGACAGGCTGTCACTGTAGTAAGCAAAATGCAGCAACTTGAACTCACAAACGGGACACAAAGGATAAAAGCCACGCCTAACAAAGAGCGGAGAACTTTTGTTACTTTTCCTTTTCCCTTTCAAATTCCGTGTTCATACTGGCATATGAAAAATATCAATTTTATTCAACAGTAAATCCAATCTCCCCCATGGTCAGATTCTCTTGACCTCAAAGGAAACAAACCTAATCAAGCATGAGAAAGTGAACTCTGCCCCTGTTCAGGGCTTTTGCTTGTTGTTAATGGCAACACAGGGCAATGGATGCGGCTGGGTAGAGTCCCAGAGACCTGGGAGGTTGAGGCTGGAGGACTGAAAATTTAAGGCCAGCTTGAGCAACTCAGCAAGCTGTCTCAGTGTTAAAAGGGCTGGAGGATGGGGCTGGGGCTCAGTGGTGGAGTGCTTGCCTCGCAAGTGTGAGGCACTAGGTTCAATCCTCAGCACTGCGTAAAAATAAATGAATAAAGATTAAAAGAAGGTGGGGAGCTGGAGAATGCAGCTCAGTGAAGTGCCCCAGGGATCAATCCCAGTCCACAAATAAATTAATAAGTAAATATTTTAAAAATAAAAAATAAATATCCAATTGTAGATGAGAAAACTCAGGAAAACGTTAAAAAAACAATAATCACTGAAAGGTGGGCTCAAGATTAAAAACCTCGCACTATTATCTATGGAAATACTGATTTCATAGTGGGCATATATTTCATATATAGCACTTTATATATTTCACATTACACAGTATAATTTTCTCATCACTTTTTCACTATTCTGTGAAAACTTAAATTGCAAATGGCTGAACAGTATTCTGCCATATGCTATAAGCTGTCTGCCTCTGGATCATTTAGGTGTTTCCACAATATCCCTTCAAAAATTCCTCAGATCATTAGATTGCTTATTTAGTTTGGTGCTACTTCTCCAGTGTCTAAAAAAATGCCCACTAGAACAAAGTCACTCAGTAAATATTAAAAAATGAGTGAATAGATACCTTTTATTAGGATACTAGTTAAAGAAGGAAAAGCTTTACTAAGATGATTGGTACACTATCAAACTCACCCATTTAGTATGTGCAATTCATAATTTCTGGTATATTCACAGAGTTGTGTGACTACCACCACAGTCTAATTTTAAGAAACCCTATACTCATTAGCCATCACCCCCATTACCCTCCCAGCCCTGACAGCCACAATGTATTGTCTCTGCAGATTTGTATATTCTGGACATTAAATATAAATGGAATAATGCAATATGAAGTCTTTAGTAACTGGTTTCTTTCACTTAGCAAAATGCTTCCAAGTTTTATTCATGTTGTAGTATTTATCAGTACTTCATTTTTTTTTTTTTTTGGTTCAACATTACTGAAGTATGGATATACTAATTTTGTTTATCCACTCAACTGATTGAGCATTTGGGTGGTTCCTGTTTGGCTAAGAACCACACTGCTATGAACACACACACAGAGATTCTTGAATGAATCTATCTTTTCATTTCCTTGGGTATGTACCTAGGATTGGAAATGCTGGATTATAGGGTAGGTAGCCCTGTGTTTAAAGTTTGAGAAAATGCTGTTTTTTAAAGTGAATGAATCCTTTTACATTCCTACCAGCAACATATGAGAATTCCAATTTTTCCATATGCTCATCAACACTTGTCATTATCTGTTTCTTTATTTTTATTTTTAGCTGTCTGAGTGGGTATAAAGTGGTATCTTGTGGCTCTGATCTGCAATTCTGTTAGCTAATAATGTAGAACATCTTTTCATGTGTTTATTGGACACTTATATATCTTATTTGAAGAAATCCTTTACCCATATTTTATTGTTGAAAGAGATGTAAGAGTTTTTTATATTCTCTAGAAATCTTTCATCTGATGTATAATTCACCAATATTATCTCCCAGAGACAGGAAAAGGAAGGAACTGCAGAACGAAATTGACAAAAATCATATGTGTGTGTGTGTGTGTGTACACTACAGTGAATTCCAGCTTTATGTGTGTTTATAAAGCACCAATTAAAAAAAAAACAACAATAAATAAAGACAAGGAAGACCAGTAGAGTAGAGGAAGGAGAATGGGAAAGGAGAAAGGGTGGGAAAGAGGAAGCCCTGAGAACTGAAGTGGAGCAAATTATATTCTGGGCATGTATGATTTTGTCAAAATGAACCCCACTATTACTCATAACTATTATGCACTTCTAAAAACATTTAAAAATATTCTCCCTCATTCCATGGGCTGTCTTTTCACTTTCTAGGAACACTTTGAAGCACAAGTCTTTAATTTTGATGAAGTCTAATCTACTTTTAAAATTCCCTTGTGCGTTTGGAGCTGTATGTAAGAAGATCTGTACTACTCCAATGTTATGAAGAGTTGTTCCTATGTTTTCTTTTAAAACTTCTATAGTTGTAGCTCTTCTGCTTAGGTCTATGATCCAGTTTGTATGAATGTGTATAATAAGAGGAAGGGGGTCAACTTTATTCTTTTGCATGTGGATATTCAGTTATCCTAGCACCATTTGTTGAAGTGACTATTCTTTCTCCATTTGATCATCTTGGCATCCTTATTGAGAAAAACAATTGATTATATCTGGCAAGGGTTTATTCTGGTCTCTCAATCTATCACACTGATTTATGCCTATTCTGCTAGCATCACACTGTCTTGTTTATTGTAGCTTTGCAGTAAGTCTGAAATGAGCAAGTTTGAATCCCTTAACTTTGTTTTACTTTCTCATGATTGTTTTGGCTATTCTGGGTCCCTTGCATTTCCATATGAATTTCAGGATCAGTTTGTCAATTTCTGTTAAGTTGGAGATGATTTGGGGAGGCCACTTGAGATTCTGAGTGCCACCATCCTCATAGGAAGCCTATCAATCTATGAACATGGAACATCTTTCCAATTTATTCAGGTCTTTCAAATTTTCAGAGTACAAGTTTATATTTCTTTGTTAAATTTATTCCTAAGTATTTTATTCTTTTTAATGCTGTGTCTTCTAGGAAGTGTTGGTGTCCTTTGTTTGCTTTTCTCATTATTTATTTTTTTCCTTTTTTCATTGGTTTGTAGAAATTATTTATGGATACCAACTCATTTATAAATATTTTAAAATTTTTTTGGACTATTTTTATTTGGAGAATGTTTTCTGATGCTGGCAGGTCTCTTTATATCAAGTGGGCATATTTCTAGAAAAAGGTTCAGTTTTTGTAATAACAAGATCTTATAATTTTGCAAATAAAATGATAGTATAGGTTAAAGAGAAACATTATTATTAGCCAGAAATGTAAAATTAAACAGTAATATATGTATTAAAGTCCTGGATTATCTGTGGTATATCTGATGTTCCTTTACAGGTTCTCTTAATATAGTGGCAATATAGAGACATGCAGCCATAATATATTCTTCCTGTGTAGAATAACTAGAATTTTCTTCAATGGATCATGCATCATCATTCATAATAATGACAGTTAACATTTGTTTAAAATTCATAAAAATGGCAGGTGCTGCTCTAAATGACTCACACATGTCTTGCAAATGACTCCTTTGAGCCTAGGCAGATTGGCTCTAGAGTTTATGTTCCTAACCACTTGTGTACACTGGCTAGAACATGAGTAGCACCAAAGAGACTCAGAATTCTGTTATGAAAATCTGTTAAGATTAAAAGACTTTTTATTTTGTGTGTGTGTGTGGTGCTGGGGATTGAACCCAGGGCCATGTGAATGCAAGGCGAGCACTCTACCAACTGAGCTATATCCCCAGCCCCTAAAAGATTTTTCTAAAGCTCCATGGCAATTATGGAGCACTGCTGGGAGCTTGTTCTTTAACCCATCTTTTCAAAGAACTTTTTAAAAAATATTTATTTTTTTAATTGTAGTTGAACACAGTACCTTTATTTATTTATTTTATATGATTCTGAAGATCGAACCCAGGGCCTGGCATCTGCTAGGCAAGCGCTCTACCACTGAGTCACAACACCAGCCCAAAGAACTAGCTCTTTTTATTCCAATGATTCTGTATTCTTATGTTTTAAATTTCATTGTTTTCTGTTCTTTATTATTTTCTAACTTCTGCTTGCATGGGTTTATTTTGCTCTTATTTTTTTTCTTTAAGGTGAGACTTAGATGACTGATTTGAGGGAAACTCCTTTCCAAGGCAAGCATTGCTTGACATGTGTCTCAGAAGTTCTCAGAAACTCCTTTCCCTGTTAGCATTGCTTGTCATGTGTCTCAGAAGTTCTGATACACTGAGGCCTTGTGCTTTGACCCACAGACTATTTAGAAAGGTGTTGTTTAGTTTCCAGGTAAAATCTTCCTGTTTTTTTTCTATACTATTTCTAATTTGTATTCACTGTGGTTAGA